ACAGACACACACACCTAGTGTGGTACCCAAAATGCCATTGTAATCTCATTTTACAATCCCAAAGCCCACAGCCACAAACACACAGAGAAGCCAACTAAATCCATATTTCCCTCTGTGCGTACAGTATACTGGCATGTGAGTTAAGATGATACACAGTGCGCAATATACAAAGGCCAACTGAGGTCTCAGAGTGCAAGAAGCTGCAGGAAAACACTTCAGGCCCAAAGCAGCATCACTCATTCACTTACACATATCACGGCAGAGAATGAAAACACTCGCACATATTTGAGACCATAAAATAATTTTTGTTCTGCACAGGCAATCTGAACAGCATGACAAAACTGTAAAGAACAATACAACAGAGAGAAAATATCTACGAGAAAGAAGAGAAGAGAAGAGAAGAGCTTACCTTCCTCCTCTGTGAGATAGAGAGAGTTAACCTTTTGGGTACAAACACACAAACACACTCCTTACTCTCTAATTCACCAAGACTTTAAATGAAGCAGGCACACACTCTTGAGACACACACACACTCAGACACACACTGATGTGATCGGCCACCCCGATAGTGAGCCAGAGCTGACTCTTTAAGCCTCAAACAAAGTTTGGTGTGCACTGACCAAGACCGAAGGGACAAAAAAAGCGAAGGAGAGAACTGGGGGGAGCAACAGAGAAAAGGAAAAAAAAAAGTGTGACCACTGAGTGAAGTTTAACCACTTACGATTCAAGTTTAGCTTCAGCACACCCCGCCTACACCCCAGATTCATTCACGGGCATGTACACGTACACCTTCTCTGGGTGGGAGAGGCACTGAGCTGGATTTTGGGAAGCCCTGCTTTTTCTCTCTTGTTCCATCTGGTTGCTGCTGCATGGCTGTCGGACAAGCAGACGGCCCTCGCTCATCCCCCTTTTCTCTACTATCTTTTCTCTTTTCCTTATCCAATGTCTCTACAGATCCACCCACCAGCAGCTGCCCCCTGTACAGCCAGGTGACAGATAGCTACTCGGGCTGTGTGTGCGCATGTGTGTCCATGTGTTTGATAAAAAAAAACATATGTGAAGGAGTGAGAGAAGATTAGATTGTAAAAGTATGTGAACAAGTGACACCATGTAGAGAGAGAGAGAGACAGAGAGAGACAGAATGAGAAAGAGAGAAGGAGGAAGAAAGGATTCAATTTCTGTAGGGTGAAAGAGGGAGACTAAGTGTAGTGAATGCAATTTGATGGTGATGCTGAGATGGGGTTTAGGCGTACAAATACTATTAGTCACTGCTGTGCAAACCTGTTACACACATATACACACATATACACACAGACACACACAGACACACACACTGTAAAAAAAACAAGCTAGGTTCCCAGGCTACAGAAGTCAACACCCAACATGGCATATAAAAAACAGAAATCAATCTTTATATCTATCCAACAGCCCTGGTTTATGGATGTAACGGTCATAGTAGTCATAAAAATTCTGTCATATCTAAATGACCTAAACATTGGCCTTCTCTCTGCATTTCTTCATAAAATAAAAAGGGTATGTGAAACAAATTCTCAGAGGAAGAGAATTAGTCAGTATACTATCTCGCCATAAAGCATAATTAAACTCGCACCAGCAAAGAGGCCAAGGGGAGGAATAATCAATCAAAACTGTGTCCAAGTTCCATATTGTATACAGTATAGGCCATATATACATTTTCATTATGCAGTAAGTGCACATGAAATTAATACACTTTAGTGTTTTGTGTTGAATGGAAATCAAGCAATATGAAAGCTGACTGACATCCATTAAAACAGATTTTGAAATGGCTGCAAATAAATATTTTCATCAGCTATTATATTACTTATTTGACAATTATGTTCTTAATAAATTGATAATTTGTTTTGTCAATGAAAAGTTTTAAAATCATGAAAATGTCTGTCTTCAGTTTTCCAGAGCTCAAGGTTACATCTTCAAATGTCGTTTTGTTCAATCAACAGGCCAAAACCAAAATATACTCAGTTCACAATGTGGGAAACTAGTCTACATCAACACTCAAAAATCTTTTTAGTACATTTAAAGACCGGGGTTGGCAGTGTTTCCACAAGGAAATTGCTTCACAGAGGAGGTAGCCACCCAGATCTTTATGTACCTCTTTATCATCTTACTTAGCAGATGATAGCCCTGGGCTGACACACTCATTACATATATGATATTTTCTGTATGAAATATCATATATGTAATGATATCTGCTGCTTTTTTTTGGTGAACAGTTAATGTTTTATTTCATGAATGTGAGTTAGCAGAGGTGGTCTTTGTTTCAAGGTGGCCCACTTATGCTATAAAACACTGTGGGAATCCATTGCTGGCATATTTTATATTTTCGAACGAATATAACGAATTACATCAAACGATCAAAACTAAAACGGACTCAAGGCGATTTGTTTCTACTGAAAATGGAAATCTTTTGAAACAGCTCAGAAATATATTGTTTAAATTTCAAAAAGGCCAATTATTTTCCTGAAACAATAGTAAAGAGCGCGTTTATTGGGGGCTATTTTCAGCTGTGGATTAATACATTTGGTGCAGGACTGACTGTAAATAAACGGCAGTACAATAAATGAACATGTCCCCTAGTGATGTTTTTGTATGACATTGGAGCTCTACGGCACGGAGGGAAACGATACGTTTTATAAGTACAAGAAAAATAGATTTTACCACTTTCCCAGTGTGAACAAACACTACATACTCAAACCTTGCTTAGAATTACTGTGTAGCATCGAATTAGCTTCCAGCTCAAGACTATAGAGCTTCATCCCTCAAATTTCCTTGCTTTCAATTCCCCCTTCTTTTTTTTTTCTAAACCCTCCCCCATTCCTCCCACTTTAAGACCCCTTCCACACCACACCCATGACCCCCCATGTGCAGACATGAGGTCAAGCTCCAAAGATCACAGAGAGAAGCCAGACGAGAGAGAGAGAAAGAGAGAGAGAGAGAAACACAGACACAGAGAAAGAGAGAGAGAATGAGAGAAAGAGAAAGAGAGACCTAAAACCCTCCTTTCCTCCCAAAACCAGGCCAAAACCTCAAGCCTTCCCACCAGCTCCAGACCCCCTCCTTTAGCCCAGTTGTGTGTAGAGGAGGCAGTGAGCACTCTTGCAGAAACATCAGCCGAGGGAAATTTAAATGAGGAAGAAACGGTGAGAGAGAGAGAGAGAGAGAGCGCACAATAGTGAGAAAATAGGATAAAAGAATGAGATGGGAGAGCGTTAGGTAGGAGGGAGAAGGAGGGGGGATCAGGAGAGGAGCTGGAGAGGTTGCTGAGGCTGCAGGTTAAGATAATGTGTAGATCTGAAGAGATTTGCAGGAAACATTTTTATTCATTTTTTGATTACTCCCATCTCTCTCGACCTCCCCTCCCTCTCCTCCTGCGTTGTTGTCTCTCCGTTTGTTTGTTTTTGGCATTAGTGTTATGACTGTTGGTATGCGTGTGTATGTACACATGCATGCTGATTAGAACTGGAATATTTTATAAACACAAATATTCACACTTGCACAAGCCCTCACGCACATATCAATACATAATGCTCACAAACATACTTAAAGATGCATCAGAGAAGTGAGCGGCTGGGAAGACAGTGCCAGGAATGCTAAGAACTTACAAATTTGTAAACATGCAGACACAGATGCTGCATATGTACATAGAAACATGCATGTACGCAGATTGTTCAGAGTGTAGCCCATCGCTGTGCCCGCTCCTTATCAATGAGCTGCAGGTAGGTTAAGTGTTCTGAATGAGCTGGACCGTACAAAATGACTCCCTGCCTCCATTCTTCTGGTCAAACACATTCAAAACGCACAAAAACATACCACAAAGGTCTAACAATGCACAAACCCAGTGCACACCGTACAGACAAATAGATGAGGCCACGCATAAACAAAAAGACACACCTGCATTGCAGTCAGACCTTCCCTCCAGGTTGAGTGAGATGGACTGGTCTCCGTCCTGATTCCCTGGACCAAGGATCATCCAGTTCTCCAGGCCGTCCGAATCAGATGAATCAGAAGACCCAGAAGACCCAGAAGACTCAGAAGACTCAGAAGACTCAGACTTTGAATCAGACTCCTCTGAATCAGATTCAGAGCTGCTGGAGTCCACAGTCACTGGCACACCGAGACCGTTCTTCCTTTTCTGGGTTCCCTAAATGACCAAACAACAACCATATTGTAGATGTAATTACAAAGCTTTCAGTTGCACCATAATGCATCCCTGAATGAACTGATAAAAGCACTAGCTATGAACTGTCAGAAAAATAAGGCCACTGTTAAACGTTATCACCCATTTATTGTAACATACAGACTGGTGACAAATTAAAGGAAAAACCTAAATGAATGAGTGGAGAAACAAAGGATCATAAAGGATGCGAGTGGTCATTGAATGTTTTGATGATGATCAACGCCTATGGGGGAATGGAAAAGAGATCTGTGTTGGTATTTCATTCAAATTGTCACCTATCTGTAGCTAGAGTTAAACTTTTGGGTAATGCTCTGCTACAGCAGCAAGTCTTTTAGCATTGCTACATGCCCCCCTGATTGCTGAAGCTTTACAGCAATCAATCAGCTAACTGGCACTGCCCACTGGACAGTAGCTTGACAAAACAGCAACCAGTACTGTGAATTCAGAGTAAAGGAACATGAAATGGGAAAAATGGCCCGACAACATCTAACTTTCTTACTCTTCTTCTACAAAACACTGATTATAGACAAGTGAGTGCAGTGGACGAAGGGCAGATTATGTTTTATTGTTAACTAGAGTTACATTAGTGTTTGTGGGGTTGCGTAAAAAAAAAGACTCCTCTCTCTTCACGACTAGTAAAGAAAGGCAGTTTTATGTATTTAGCATAACACAGAAGCAATTTAAAGTGCTTGATATAGGCAAAGAAAAGCAGTAGAATGATTTTTAAAAGCGTTAAAACACAGAATAAAATTACAGAAAAATACAAATTGAATAGACTAGAAATACAGTCAGAGTTCAGTAATAAGTTGCCTCAAATGCAACCAAGGAAATAAAAGTGCAGTAATTTCTGTCTTGGAAAAAGAGCTACGTAAATCGAAGTGTTGTCTGCGTAGCTGTGATAAGCAGTGTAATTGTCTTGTATGACTTGACCTAGAGGGAGCATGTACAGGTTGAATAAGAGCAGCCTGAGAATCGAACCCTGGGGAACTCCACATGTCATGGTGGTCTGCCTTAGAGATATGCTATATATAAGACAACATAAGAAGTATTCTGTGGTTATCACTTGGCTGCACTAAGATCAAACAGCACCAAAGCACATGTTTTACTGGAATCGATATTCAGACAAATGTCATTTAATATATTTATCAGTGCAGATTAAAATCTGTCCAGAAGACCATCCAAATTTAAAAAGTTACAGAGTTGAATCAAAGCAGCTTTCTCAATATTGTTCCAAAAAAAAAGTACAATACTTAAGAGTAAGTATTGTAGTATTTCCCCAATATCTGGAAGCAGGTCCTGAATGCAGAGTTTAGGGTTACATAGGGACAAGCAGCCAAACAGGGTTTTGTTAGGATGAATGAAATAATCTGATCATACATTTTTCCTTGTTATACCTAATAGGACTAACTAGCACTACATTGCGATACAAAAACACTGAGTCCTTGCTGCAGCGGCCGTGGGTTCGCTCACACCTTTTCCTGTCTATCTTGAGCTGTCAGTATCAATTAAATTAATATACACACATATGAGGATACATATAATTCTTAACTTTATATTTTTATATGAAATTTGCAAAACTCATTACAACGGCAAACTCAACAGCCACTATCTAGAAATGAGAAGGTGCTCTCACTGTCTAAAATTAGGGATTGTTTCGAGTGGTAAATCTGCCATCATTACTTATCCATATGTGCTGTGAATGAATGGAAAGCTTGACCGGTGTAACAACAGTAACTAAAGGTAGTCACACACAGCAGAGACAAGCAGTCACACACAACATGCCACTCTTTTGCTCTTTACCTGTTGGGCCGGTGTGGAAGTCTGCAGCCGGTGTAAGCCTTGACCCTTTAAGGCACAGACCCCTTCATCATCATCATCGGCAGTGTCACCCTCAGAGATGGAGATGACATCAGGGCTGGAGTCAATCACGATTACCTCCTCAAAAAAAGACGAAGACGACCTCTGACCTTTAGGGTTACTTTCCCCCTTCTTTTGTTTATCACGTTTCTCTCCCTTCTTCTTCAGGTGTTGCAGTAACTTGCTTATATTTGGTGATGGAGGCCCACTTTCTCCAGTGTGTTCCAGTTCTGCATCAACATCTGAAGACTTTTCAGTCACCTCAAGCTGCTGGCTCTCCTGGCCCTCCGCCTCCTCTCCCCTGTCCCTCTGCTCCTCGATCTCCCCAGCATTAGAGGAGTAGTGGAGCTGGCTGTAGAGGCGGAACTCCAGCTCGCTGTTGGCCTCTGACCCCTCAGAATCCTCTTCATCCTCTTGATAGAGATCATCCTCCAGTTCTTCCCGATCCTGGTACAGACAGTACATCCCCGAAACCCAAAACACACTCAGTACACACACACATGCACACACCTTACTGACCCTCACACACACAACCACTCACACCTGGGGAGACGGTGAGCTCAGTGGACTGCGGGGATAAAAACACACAAAGCGAGGATCAGTTTTTATTACAGTCATCACAATGACTTAACTATTATTATATTACAATCCAACAGAAAACATAATATATGTACAATGTAAAATTGCTCTTAGAGGATCAATCAACAATGTTTACCTTTAGTCTGTTTACTTTTAATCATGCACATGTAATATTATTGTCAAGCAAACAATTTTCCAAACATAACATATATGGCTGCAACTACTTATTATTTCCTCATTTGGTCTCCAAAAAGGTCAGAAAGTATTAAAAATGACTATTATAATTTTCTCAAACCCAAAGTGGTTGATTTTGTCCAACCAAAAGTCCAAAAATCAAAACATATTCAGTTTACTATCACACAAGACAAAGAAAAGCAGACACAACCATGAAGCTGGAATTATTCATCATGAATTAATGATGACAATTAATCACCAAAATAGTTCATTATAATTTAATTAATTTAACTTTCTAATTCTTTTAAATAAGTCCATAAATTGACAAATCAGTTTAGTACTAAACACTTTTCAAATTGATTTTCCGCTTTCTATTCAGCCTGGTTACACTCACTGGTAACAATAAGTAGCTTCAGATAGGTAATCAATAGCAGCAGGCACTCTGAGTTGTGTTGTCATTAAATGGTTACGCAGTTTAAAGCATGGACTCTGATATCTTACACATGGTGCATTCAAATGCCGGTTGGAAGCTGCATCACCTCATGTTCAAGAGTCTCAACAGTTTTGTATTCAAAAGCTATATTTTTGTTTTTTTGTCCTAATATCAATGATGATACCAAGTAACAATCCAATACCAGTGCTGCTTTTAATTTTTCCTATTTAAAATCTGTGTGCGCTTCTCTCTTAATGTATTTAACATCGATCTGTCGCATCTGGCTGATGCCTAATCCACCAACACCAATTCAGGATATCCAATTGGTACATTATTACCAGGATTATTTGTTATTTAATTTTATCTCTTAACCATCAATCACGTGAAGATAAAGCTATGTCAACTATTACCTACAGCAGTGAAGAATAAGTGAACACGGACCGGCATCAATTACAGGAGAAGCACAGAGTTTGAAATCCATAAGGGCTTGTTAACAAAGCTGAGAGAGAGCACGAATCGGCTGCACTCAGATTTTTTTTTCACCTGTAGACTGTGTTTTTATCACAGCTTTGGTTTTAAGAAACAACTCGGATACAAGTTAGGTGATCATGTCAACAAACACTTTAAAAAGACTAAAATAATCTGCGACCCACTTTCAGTGATTATGTTAGAAATTATTTTCTTACTACACTGTGCAACCCTGTGTGGCTAATTTTCCCCCTCTCTCTCTCTAACACTTTCTCTCTCTCACACACA